AACATCTGACAATAGCTTCAAAATGGTCAATGGACATGTCCTTTGACCCAGTGATTCGTCCACAGGCATCTGCTTCCATGTCTCCTTATACAGGTATGCACATATCTGGGCCAGGATGTTTACTGCAGTGAGCTGGGAACTCAAACACTCCTTGAAAGGGACAGGTGGACAGTGGGTGTTGATGCCTAGTTTCCATGTAAGTGAGAGACAGGGCAGACAAACAGAACTTTGCTTACATGTACAGTGGGGGTGCCCAGAAATTTGCGCTTTCCCCCCTTGTACATTTTGTGTAAAAAGATGAATTTAAACCATGTGCCTCCATGATATTTAAATATTTTTTTTGTTGTTGTTAAATGTAAGAAATGTCTAGGGCGCCTACTACCTGGGGTAGCAGGGAGGGGCACTCATGGGCAGCAGGCTCCTTGAGTAAGGAGCCTGCCTGAAAGTGGGCAGCCAATGGGGGCAGGCTCTCATCCTTCATGGTCTAAAGACTGTTGGACCACCCGAGAAGCTACCAAAGCCCTGAGGGCACTGCTTCTGTCATGACATGAGGAACTGCCTGGTTTTTTTTGGAAGGAAGAAGCAGATAACTCAATGCCCAGTGGGTCTCTGTGCTGTGCAACTTCCCTGTCCCAAGTCAGGGGCTTTAGCCCAGGCTGGGGACTGTGGACATGGGGTCTGTTGTGGTTTGAATATAAAATGTCCCCCACAGGCTTATTTGTTGAATGCTTAGTCCCCAGCTGGTGGCACTATTTTGGGAGGTGGTTAGAAATTTTAGGAGGTGGGGTCTAGTTGGAGGAAGTAGGTCACTGCGGGTGTGCATTAAAAGCCCTTGTGTGACTATTCACAATAGCCAAGTTATGGAAACAGCCAAGATGCCCCACCACTGACAAATGGATTAAGAAAATGTGGTATCTATACACAATGGAATTTTATGCAGCCATGAAGAAGAACAAAATGTTATCATTCGCTGGTAAATGGATGGAATTGGAGAACATCATTCTGAGTGAGGTTAGCCTGGCCCAAAAGACCAAAAATCGTATGTTCTCTCTCATATGTGGACATTAGATCAAGGGCAAACACAACAAGGGGATTGGACTTTGAGCACATGATAAAAGCGAGAGCACACAAGGGAGGGGTGAGGATAAGTAAGACACCTAAAAAACTAGCTAGCATTTGTTGCCCTTAACGCAGAGAAACTAAAGCAGATACCTTAAAGCAACTGAGGCCAATAGGAAAAGGGGACCAGGAACTAGAGAAAGGTTAGATCAAAAAGAATTAACCTAGAAGGTAACACCCACGCACAGGAAATCAATGTGAGTCAATGCCCTGTAAAGCTATCCTTATCTCAACCAGCAAAAACCCTTGTTCCTTCCTATTATTGCTTATACTCTCTCTACAACAAAATTAGAGACAAGGGCAAAATAGTTTCTGCTGGGTATTGGTGGGGGGAGAGGGAGGGGGCGGAGTGGGTGGTAAGGGAGGGGGTGGGGGCAGGGGGGAGAAATGAACCAATCCTTGTATGCACATATGAATAATAAAAGAAAAATGAAAAAAAAAAAAAAAAGCCCTTGTGTGTCTGTCTGTCTCTCTCTGCTTCCAGGCCATCAGGAAGTAAAGAAGCCCCTCCAGTACATGTTCCTGCCGCCATGATGTTTTGCCCAAGTGCATGGGGCCAAGCGACCATGGACTGAACTCTATGACGCTGTGCTAAAATAAACCTTTCCTCCTTTATAGTGTCTATACCAGGTTATTTGTCACAGAGATGCAAAAGTCTGACTAATTCAGGGCCTAAGGACCTGGAGTGCAGAGCAAGTGCCACCTTCTCTTCCATCTCTCGGGGACTGAGGGCCCACCAAGCCTCATAAACATTCAGTGTCCAGGTAACCAGGGGTCCTGCCCATGAATCTGGTATTGAGCTCCATGACCGTGATTTGGTTACAGAAAGGCTAGAGGAGATGCCGGGAGCCCTATGCCACCTCTATCTGGCCCCCTGAGATGGAAGCGAGGACTGGGTTGAGGCAGGGAAGGCAGGAGCAGCACAGTCTCTGGGGCTGGTTGCTGCATTGTTCCAAGGCACTGAGCTGCTTGATGAGTGTCACTTGAGTGCCCCATGGCCTCAGTCTGCTTATTCTGCAGGACCTGAGCTGGGAGGGTGAACCAGGGGCAGGCACCACATTCCCCTGTTGTCTGGCTGTGACTGTGGCCCTCTTTGGTACAGATAGTGTTCCAGGTCTTCAGACCTGGTCAAGGTAAACGCTCCCCCTAAGATTGGTCTGGGGGCTCAGAAGGTGATGCACTGTGTGCTACCCCCACATTAAGTCAGTTTGAGGCCAACATGGACCTGTGCTGCCCCCTGCTCTGGGAAGCCTTCGTTCTTCCCCCTTGTCCGGGTCAGCAGGATCCCTTCTGGATTACAGGGTGGGGGGATTGCATTGTGGCCATCAGATCCCACTGGCCCCTTCTCTGGCTAGCAGCATGGGGTTCGCTTGATGACAACTTCTTAGGGACTGATCCTTCCATCCACATGTGTGAGCGGACCCCACTCAGCCCCTGGACTCTCCCCTTCACAGTCTTCCGTTTGTTTCACTTGCCTATGATTCCTGCAGTCAGTTGAATATGCTCCCCCCGACACCACGACAAAGTTTGTGTCCATCTAGTCACCTGTGAATGTGGCCTCATTCAGGAATGTAAAAATAATTACATTAAGATGGGGCCATACAGGATTAGAGGGGGGTACTAAATCCAACCATAAGTGTTCTTATAGGAATAGACACAGAGACATAGAGGTAAAGGCCACAAGGTAACAGTGGCAGATGGAAGCCAAGGCAGCCAGGGTTGCTGGCCACTACCAGAGGCTGGAAGAGGCAGGAAGGGTGGTCCCCTAGAGCCCAGTGGAAGTGCAGCCCTGCCCATATCTAGATTTCAGTCCAATGACATTGATCTTAGATGCTGGCCTCCAGAACTGGAGGAGAAGACATTTCCGTTGTTTTAAGTCACCCAATTTATGGCCCTTTATAATGGCAGCCCCAGTGTCCTGCACCCCTGAGCTTGCCTGTCAGAGAAGTCACCTAAGCTTTAAATGGACACTTCCTGCAGAGCCAATGGGGCTTTCTGTGGCTGCTTGAGCATTGGTGGGTGAAGGAAAGGAGGTCTGGAAGGTTGATGGACCCATACCTGGCTGTGTAACCCTTACCCCAGTGGTGACCACTGCACAGTTCTGCCCAAGGGATGTAATTCAGGGTGAGGAGGAAGTCAGGGTCTCTGAGAGGGCTGAGTATACAGTCTCTCAGGAAACATGTATGCAACCCCTCTCCAAGTGTCCCACCCTCTTCATACAGAGGGGACAGTAGAAGGGCTTCTGGCCCTCAGTAACCCTGTTGGCAACTGTGATGCCTATGTGTCTTCTCCAGCATCCTTGACATGTGCTGACTGTTTTCAGATCTACCCAAACACATGGACTTCACTTTGGTATGAAGTGCCCACGGCCCAGCATGTCAAAGTCCCAATGGGCCCAGATTCCTCCTCAGGGCACCAGACATCCCTCTCCCTCTTAGCTTTTTCTAGGCCTTGCTTTCCTAGCTTTAGGCTCTGAGGGGCTCAGGGAGACCCAATGATGGGCAACTGGGAGTAGCAGCCCTCCCCTGTGGCCCACCTATTCTCAGGCTGGTCTCTACCTCCCCTTGCAGGATGAGCGAAACTGTCTGGTTCTGTGCTGATCTGGATGCTCAAGCTTGGGGCCTCTCTTGTGATCCACTGGGAGGCCATCACTGTTCACTCTGCTTAGTGTGCCCACTTGGGTCTGCTCTGGAGTTCATTCCTGCAATGCCTGTCTGACATCCTCTACCCCGACCCCAAGCCAGCATTCCTATGGAAGGCAAGAACAGGACTTAGGCCCAGGTTATGTGAAGGTGTTACCCCCTCCACCTGCCCCCCAGCTCTGTGAGCCTGGGTGAGCAGCGGCCCAGGCAGCGGGAGCTGGAATGCAATACCTGGTCGGGGGAGGCACTCAGGTTGGGGACCCTGGGAGTTAGGGAAGAAATAGGCTTTCTTTACGAGCTTGGAGCCAGGAAGGGGCTGTCATTTTCCCCAAAGACTAAGGCGGGAGGGTACAGAGCATGACTGAATTCTCTTCTTCTGGGTGATGAAATAGGGGACCAGAATTAAAACGCAGGCTTGTTATAAACTGGCAAGGCCCTCGCAAGCTGGGCAGAACTGTGCAGTAAGCCCAAGAGCTCACCCCTTGAGGGGGGCTGGAGAGGACACCCCAGAGAGGCCCAGACCCACTCAACTGACGCAGGAGGACCGTCCCGCCGAGTCAGCCTGGAGGTCACCGCCCACTTCCCGGCTCCGCCTGCACGGCCTCCAGCGACTCACGTGACTTTCCGGTTCGTCCCTCCCCTCCCCGTCCCGGCCGGCTCCGCCCCACCGCGCGAAACTAAGACCCAAGCGCGAAATCTGGTGCGTGAGGCGATACTGCGCAGGCGCATCGGCGGCAGCCCGACAGCACTCCCGGCCTGCCCCGCGCGCTGACGTCGCGCAGCCTCGTCCCCGCCGCCGCCGCCATTGGAGTCGGCTCCCCCCTCAGCTCGTCTGCTCCCGCCCGCCGCCCGCCCGCCCGCCCGCCCGCCGCTCCGGCCCGCGCGCCCAGCAGCCGCCCGCCGCGCCCGGCCGCGCCCGCGGAGTTGGCGGCGGGCCCGGGCCGCGCGCGCGCGGCGTGACAGGCCCGGCCTCGCGGGAGGCCCGAGCCGGCGGGCGCCCGGTCCCGCGCCGCGCTGTTCATGAAGCATGTCGGCCACCAGCGTGGACCCCCAGGTAGCGGGCTGGGCGGGCACCTGGAGGCCGGTCCTGGGTCTCGGATCCGGGGCTGCGAGGCCGGGCGCCGGGCCAGGGTCTCGGGGCTGGGGCCGCAGGGCCCGGGCTGAGGTCGCGAGTCTGGGGCCGCGGGGGCCGCGCCACGGACCTGGAAGCCGGGCCGGGGTTGCGGGGCCGGGGTCGCGGGGTCGGGCCGGGGTCACGGGGTCCGAGGTCGGGGTCGCGGGGCAGGAGCCCTGGAGGCCGGGCCGGGGTCGCCTCGCCCGCCGGGGAGCGTTCTCCGGAGAGTAACTTTGTCTTTCCTTTCCCGGGCTGGGCTGCGTCCGCTCGCACGTCCCGGCCTGCGGCGACGCAGAGAACAAAAGGACAAGATAATAAAGGTGAGCAGAGTTCCGGGAAGGCCTGCGGGCCGTGGAGGAGGACGGGGCAGCGCCCGCCCGCGTGGGCAACAGAATGTCCACAAGCCCGGCCTGGAACCGGAAACTTGGTTTCCTCTGCCAGTTTCGGGGAGATGAAACTTTGCGTTTCCGGGAGATCTGACAGGTCGTAGACGGACTTTTCAAGGAGACGTAAATAAGTGGAAAAGTTCAGTCCTCCTGTCCTCGCCTTGCAAGATCGCTGATGTGATGAGGGAAGGGGAAGGAGGCGAGGCATTGCCCACGGGACAGGCGCAGGTGCCAGGGCCTGAGTGACCTGCCTTCTGCCGCCCAGTAGGCATGGCTCTCGGGGAGCCGCAGGACTGTAGGCTACGCCGCCACAGTAGTTACAGCCCTTGTAAGTCTGTTGTCACCTGTGATATTCTGGCTTGGGATAACCACCCCCCCCAAACTCAATCCTGTGAGAACTTGTAAGTGACACTTCATGTTTTTTAACCAGTGTATGTGTTACTCAGGTGTAACCAAATATGGTTCATGGTGTTTTTAAGATCGGAAAAGGCCCAGCAGTTTATTTACCATTCCGTTCCTTTCCTGGCTGAGCACTGTAACAGTGTAAAGTAAGTGAAGAGTAGATAATACGGTGCCTGGGCTACAGCACTTTCCCAGCCGAACATCCTGTCCCCACTTCTCCACAGGCAGCAGCTTGGCTTTTGGAACCTCCATCCTCTGTTTGCCTGATGTAGATCTTCTGAGACCCTGTGGATTTCATGAGCTGGGGATATGGCTCAGTCGTAGAGCTTTTGCCTGGCATGTGGAAGGCCCTGGATTCCAGCCAGCAAATAATGGCACATTATTTGCCATTTTATTTTGTTTGCACCTGTACTTTGTCAGCATCCTACCAAATTACTGTCTTTACCGAAAATGTAGCTTAAATTGTTAAAAGTTCTGCATTATCATTCTAATTAGGTGTGTAAACATCAGTTCTATACTACTGTGCCCATTTTAAAATAAAATCATAATTTCTACTAGAAATTGAAACGGATCTTGCTAACTTTAATTTCCGTGCTTAAAAGTAATCTTAAAACTTGAAGATAATATTTTGCAACTTCTTGTTCTAGTACAAAATGGTTCTTTGCATCAGAAGGATACAGTTCATGACAATGACTTTGAGCCCTACCTTTCTGGACAGTCCAATCCGGTGAGTTTGTTAGCATATTTTTTATGTTAAAATTAATTTTAATTGTTTGTAACCCAGTTTTACTGTCATCTCTATTTTTTTTTTAAATTCTAAATAAGAAAGAAGGCTAGAAATATTAGAAGTGATATAATAGTCTTGAAGACTTGCTTTGAGCACTTCCTTCCGTTTGATCTGGGTATTAGTGTGACGGAGATGGTTTTCTCCCTGGACAAATAACACCCCTTTGGTGCTGGGGGGCAGGCCTAGTGGGCCTGAACATTTGTAGGTCACTGCATCAGTGACCTACAAATGATGGAGTGCAGGTGTGCATAGTTTTGAGGCGTTCTGGCTCTGGAGGATTACAACTGTGGTTTAGGAGAATAGCTAAGCCCTGGATGGTGGAGCCAGATTGCTATCGTGAGTTCAAAACTTAACTCCATGTGCATCCAGTGGCTTGCCTTCTGTGCCTCAGTTTCCTTTTCCATGAAACAAATAGTAGTAACTTCTCATAGAATTGTTGGGAGGATGACATTAGACGGTGTGTGTAAAGTGCTGAGAACCTACTTGATATAGTCCAGCAAGTCATAGCTGCCTTATTTTCTCAGGTAGTTCAGAGTTTGTCAGCCCTGGCATCAGGAACATTTTGGACTAGAACATTGTTTTGACTGTTCTGTGCACTGTAGGATGTTTACCACCCTCCCTGGCTTCTAAAGATTTCATAAGCATTTCCCCCACTCCAGTTGTGACAATTGCAGATGTCTCTTGGGGACAGAATTGCCCTGGTTAAAAACCATGGACCGGTTGGTTTAACCACAGTATCTGCTACTTTAAAATGTACCGTGTATATTTACTTCAGATTAAAGCGAGGCTTTGCCTCTTCCCTGTGCTGTACTGAAATAGTCTGCCTGTTTTCTTTCTCATCTGCTCTTTTCTGAAGCATCTTAGACTTTCTTAGAAATTTTCTCCATTCTCCTCCTTCCTGTTTCATTTGGCATGTCAGCAGCTTAGGAGCCCGTGAAACTGTATGGAGGGAGTCTTGACCTGCTGGGTAGCTTGGTTGCCCCTGATAATCTGGCGCTTGTCCAGGCAACAGGGTGTTGCAGAACCCACCTACCCTCAGCCACAGGCTTTTGGCCAAGGTAATGGCAAGTTAAATAAATATCTTATTTCCTACTTTTCTTATGCAAGATTATGCACTATTCTTTTTTTTTTCTTGCAGTTCTGGAGTTTGAACTCAGGGCCTTCACCTTGAGCCACTCCACCAGCTCTATTTTTTTGTGATTGGTTTTTTTTTTGAGATAGTGTCTCACGAACTATTTGCCCCGGGGCTGGCTTCAAACCTAGATCCTCCTAATCCCTACCTCCTGAGTAGCTAGGACTACAGCTGTGAGTCATGGGCGCCTTGCCAAGATTATGTACTCAATTTTAACCAAAACAATGAGAGAGAGTTTGTTCCACTACACTTGAAATGTATTTTCATAAAGTAGAAACTCTAGTGTTACTTGAAAATACTTCTATAAAAATGAAGTAGATTGTTTTTTGCTGTCAGTACTTGGTCATAGTTGTTTTACTGCTGGGGAAGCCATGGTAAAAGAAATGAACAGCTTTAAAATGGCCCCTTTGTGTTTTGTATGTTATGAAGTGCACTTTTGAGCAAGGTGATTCATCAGCATGTCACTTGAGAGTAAATCTGCTCTGCTGATGGCTTGATAACAGATTTTCCAGAACAACCCAACTTTAAGAGATCAGAAGAGCTCTTTAGTCTTCGCTTACAGATGAAGCAGCTGAGGACCAGTGAGGACATAGCTTGTCCGGGTGGAGGAACTGGAACTGTCAGTCATTCAGCAAATGCCTGCCTTGTTCTTTGTGTTGCTTCTTTCTTACAGGGGACCACAACTTCATTCTGCCTCCCTTCCTTGAATTCTCCTTAATTTGCTGTTTCAGTCATGAGTTATTTGGGAATTGTTACTGCCTCTAAGTTTGGACTCTTCTGATGGAGGCTGCCATTTAGAAAAGCACTCTGTTGCATTCTCAGATGAGAGCTGTGCCATGGTGTCCAGCCAGAAGAGAGGTGTTTGGTGTGACTGATAGCAAAAAGCTCAGAATCCTGGTGGTGTGCTAAGTACCACACAGACTCCTCTGTGTGTGTGTGTGTGTGTGTGTGTGTGTGTAGCAGCTCTGTTGATGCTTCTAATGCATGGTGAGCTGCACATGTTTAACACAGTTCTGTGACTTTCACCTTACACATAGCATGCCTGCAGAGCCTTGACAACAGGGATGACAGTGGGCCAATCCTCAGCCCTTATTTTGAATCCAGATATGGTTTATGTGGTCAGCTGGAGGTAACTGTGCTTTTTCATTTTATAAAATTATGATACTTTGAATGGTTTGGACTTTTTTTTCCCCCTGCTACTGGGATTTGAGCCATTCCACCAGCCCGTTTTTTGTGATGGGTTTTTTTTTTTTTTTTTTTTTGTAATTAATTAAAGCATTTTTAATACAGTAGTAAGTCAATTGGGAAATTGATTCAGATTCACAATTGAAATGCTGTAGTCCTCCATGGAGATTTCAAACCAGATTTTTCACCTCAACCTAAGAACAAAAACAAAAATATCAGTAACTCAAAAGGATATCAAAGAAATACTCTCATATGTAAGCCAGTATTCAAAAAGGTTAGAACCCATGTGATGGGTTTTTTTGAGATAGGGTCCCGTGAACTGTTTTTCCAGGCTGGCTTTAAACCACAATCCTCCTGAGTAGCTAGGATTATAGGTGTGAGCCACTGTTGCCCGGTGATTTGGACATCTTTATGAGCATACCACATGCCATTAAGTTAGGTTAGTGTAATTCTGTGGACCACGATGGGTTTGTTGTCTCAGACAGCCTCACTCTCCCTGCTGTGGGTCTGGTGTTTGTGTAGTTACCCCTAAGATGCATCCTACTTGAAGCAGTTCCATGTCCCTGCTTCTGGTCTGTGATGTATGTTGACATCCTTTCTGGAAATGAGAGGGATATAGAGTAAAGGACTCTGGGCTGGGCTTAATTGTCCTGATTTCCTTGTTTGAGGCTTTGTTGGCTCAGGCTTTCTAGTTTCCTGGTTCCTCTTGTTTTCTGGGAAATGAAGGATTGTGAGATGCCTTAGAGCAGGTCTTACAACTGCCTCTGAGTGATGGCTGAGTTGGGAACAGTTGCCGCTGGCCACCAGGCCTTACTTGCTAGCCAGAGAGCAGCAGCTTGTGTGCTGTGACCTCTGACCACCACTGACAAATGAGCCGAGGACACCTGGGCACAGGGTAGGTAGTACCACCTGCACCTGCATTTCAGGTGCTCAGTTGTCAACACACTTGGTGCTTAGCCATCCCTGACAGGAACAGAAAGTAAGGAAACTAAACTGTTTTTGTTTTTTCTGATTCAGTTGTGTTCTAAGTATAATAGAGAATGTTCATTTTATAAGTGTTTTCATAAATTTTCCTGTTGTGACTTCCAGTGCTGGCAATTTGTAATTAGTTTGTCTTTTCTGGACTACTTTGGGGAGCCATGCTTTTAATCAGGTACTCCGATGTAAGGATTAAATTTCATTTTGAGCAGCCCCTTGACCTGCGGAAACAAGCTTTGCTCAGGTGGAGGAGGGCGCTGCTTTTAATATTTGGCAGATGCCCGTCCTGTCTGTTACCTCTGCGCTGCTTGTTTCTTCATATAGGACCATGATGTTCTGCCTCCCTGCTTTGAATTCTCCTTATTTTACTGTTGGTCTTGAGTCATTTGGGAATTGTTACTGCCTCTAGACTTGGAGTTTTTGATGAGTGTAGGTTGTCCTAGTATTCAGTGTTGTGTCACTCACTCCCTGACATACGCCATCACTCAGGTGTTATCTTGTGTGGTCACATTGAAGTTTGTACCTCTACTTTATCCAAAAAAGCCACTGCCTTGAGAATTGTTAGCTTATTGTGTGTTTTTTTTGGATTTTTTTTTTTTTTTTGATGGTACTGGGGTTTGAACTCAGGGCCTCACACTTTGCTAGGCAGGTGCTCTATCACTACAGCCACTCCACTGTCCCTTTTTTGTGTTGGGTATTTTCAAGATAGGATCTCACAAACTTTGCCTGGGGCTGACCTGGAACTACAAGCCTCCTGATCTCTGCCTCCCAGTAACTAGGATTACAGACGTGAGCCACTGGTGCCTGACTTAGCTTGTCTTAGTTGTACTTGCCCTGTTGCCTAAGGTTTTGGTGGTTTTTTCATGTGGCAGTGCAAAGCCAAGTTAAATAACGCTGTGCTTTGTCAGGCTGTCTACGGCTGCTGTTGGCATGTGAAGAGCTATGAGACACTTAGCACTTGGGTTACTGCTGTGTTCAGGCAATTCTGGTGGCCCACAACAACCTGAAGGTTCAGCAGATGTGTTCCTGGTCATCCAGGCCTGTGCCTGGCATTGGCTTCTGTGCTTGCACCTAAATAACATGGGCCTCCATGAAAGGTGGTGGTGCCCATTAAGGAGGAGTCTGCCATCACTACTGCTTTCCAGAAGTGCGTCTGGAAGGATGCAGTGGGTCTACCAGCTGAGAGGCTGAAATTACAGCCTCAGAAGGACCAGCATTTAAGACATAGGAAAAGTGAGCAGCCATATAAGCATTTGCTGTTTTCTGTGCATTTCTGCTGTCTTCTCAGCTTCTCCTGAAGCAACATGGTCACCCTTGTGGGCCTGTCCCACCCTGAACCAAGTGTTTCCCAGAAGTCTGGGTCACTTGGTCACTTTTCAGCATTGCTCCTGATAGATACTTTTCCTTCTTTGTAATTGATTTGATTTGATGAAGAACAGGCTTCTCAGCATATTTCTGAGGTGTTCTGCTGTGTTTCTGCTCCTCTCTCTAGTCTCTCTCTCTTGGTCAATGCCTAGTTGCTTCATTGTTTGTGAAACTTAAAGTGTTTGGATTATTTCAGAATTCTTTTCCTTCTCAGTTAATATTTCAACTTCAGGTTACATAGCTCTAGTCATTCAGTTTGGGCTTCTTTTTTTTTTTTTTTGGTGGTGGGGGGGGAGGGTCTTAAAAGACCAAAAGGTTATTAAACTTGAATAAGTGCAGAAAAAAAATTTTTTTAATTCTAGAATAAGTTTATGGCTTTATTGTGTTGCTATTTGTTGTTCCAAATGATCTAGGGTAGCAGTCACTGATTACTTAAAATTTCCTTATTTCTTTGTTTGGATAGTCTATTTAGTTTATTATTTTCCAGTTTGATTGGAGGAGGAACCTTAAGCATTCAAAAAATGTATTTTCTTCTGTCAGTGGGCTTTGATTTTGCCTGTAAGATGTGTTAGTCTCCCTTGGGTGGTCTTATCATACCCAGGGTTGATTAGAAGTCTTGGATATGGTTCCAGTGGTATCTTGAGTCCAAGTGCACTCAGAATTGTTCGTGTGTGAGGAACAAGCTTTGAACTTATTTGCTTTACTTTAGCTTATTCAGCTGTGATCCCGATAAATGCACCTAAATACTGGTAGCTTAGACTGCCTCATGAAACTACCAAGCTAAGAAAGGTCCTGCCTTGAGCATGCACAAGTTGGGGAGACTGAGGGCTCCAGCAGACTCTGTGTGCTTTACAAGTAGCCCCTATGCATTTCTAGGGTACATTCGAAGTAATGTACTGTGAGTTTAGACTAGACAGTCAGCATACACTACAGGCTGTGACTGGAAATTGCTTCCTTCCCTTCCCAGGGAAGTCATGTAGCAGGGCACACAGCCTAGTATTTAGCCTGGCATACAGAGCTGTAGAACCATCTTCTCTCCTTTAGAGCTTGGTCTGCTCTAGATAGCTTTGTAGAGTAACCTACAGCTTTGCTTTCAGAGATTGGGAAAAAACATGGCAGGCATAACAGAAACTAAGCTGTCAAATGCATTGAGGTAAAGCTTGAAATTGGACGCATAATGCCTGTGTGGTCCTGCAGCCTGCTAACTGAAAGGGTCACAGGCGGTGGGGCTGTGGCAGAGTGGAGTTAAGAGGTGAGAGCAGGCATGATTCAGTGTTGTGACAGCCATCTGTAGGCCTGCAGCACTTTGCAGAGACCTCTTTGTATACTACAGCTTTTTTGTGGGTGGGGACAGGACTAGGGTTTAAACTAGTAGCTTCACACTTGCTACTGTTACATCAGCTTTCTTTAACTAGGAATTTGAAATTAGGAATCTTTAGCTTTGTCCTTTTGTTACAAATTTAAATGTGTAGTCTGAATAGATTTGCAATTTTTCAGTGATGCTCAGTTTCACTGTTGTTTATTTTATCTCCTCCACCTAAAACCTCAGAAAAGAGGAGAGGTGAGGTCTTCCCAAGGCTGCACCTTCCCTGCTGCCTGACCACTTCTCTTCCCAAGCACTTCCTGTCCTACTGTGTGTATGTGTATATACATGTACATGTATCCTTTTTTTGGGAGGTGGGTACTGGGGTTTGGACTCAAGGCTTCATGCTTGTGAGTCAGGCATTCTACTGCTTGAGCTACTCCTCCAGCTCTTTTAGCTCTGGTTATTTTGGAGATAGGGTCTTGTTTTTTGCCCAGGCCGGCTTGGGTCACAATCCTCCTGTTTTAGGCTCCATGCTGTTGATGAACAACAGTTACGCACACTCATACCCAGCACTTTTTGGTTGAGGTGGGATCTAAAACTTTTTTGCTGGGGCTGGCCTGGAACTACGATCTTCCCAGGCTCAGCCACCTGCATAGCTTGCTACTGTGCTCAGCTGTTTGTTGAGATGGGTTCTCACAAACTATTTGTCCCAACTGGCTTTGAACTGCGGTCCTCCTGATCTCAATCTCCCAAGTAACTAAGATTACAGGCATGAGCTTAGCTACTCATACACATTTTTAATTGAACTTGTGCTTCCTCCTGTCCTGTGGTATGATGTTTTTTGTAGGGGAAAGATAGCTATGACCTTTGTGTTCTAAACCTAAAGAAGCAGGATTTGTGTGGGGTTCTGGTAAAGTTGTCTTGAACCCACATTACACTGACTCCCATTACACAGTGCAGTCTGGGGAACAGCAGAGGGCCACCTGCTACACCGGAAGGAGTATGATGGGCCATTTTCTCAGCTCAGTCTGTGACCTGTGCCTACCATCTGTTTGATGGTAAGACTTCAAGTGGACTTTGAGGGATATGCCTAAACTGATTTCCTAAATTGTATCTTGTTGCAGTAACCTGGGCATCTCTTTCAGTGGCCCTGCTTCTGTTGCTGTTGGTTTGTGACCAAGTGGGTTAGAATGCTACATCACCACTAGATCTTTGCTTCTCCATTTGTCCTTTTCATGTGTTGAGGAGATTGCCACTGCTGAGGAAGAGAGCTGGCCTCCCTTTGGAAGGATCACTGCTTGGTCCTGTGGCATCCTCTCAGAGCAGGTCCCCACTCAGACCTCTCATTGACTTGCTTTCCCTCCTGGCTGACTCTGCCACACAGGCTGCTTTGAGGGCTGCTGGGTGGAGGCATGTGAGGGGGAAATTAAAGGAGCCAAAATCATTGAAATGCTTTCAGAGGAAGATGAGATAAAGTTTTTCTAATGTTTATAGAATATCGACAGTCTGATTTGTAGAATCTCAAAAGCTTTCATTACAGGGAAAACATTTTTGTTTCATTTTACAACATGATTCTGAAATGTTTTGATATGTGGAGCTTTCCTTACCTTACACAGGGCACTTCCCATTCCTCTAGCACCCTGCATAGGTTCACCACATCACAGGAAGGTATCTTCATTTACTTCAGGTAGCATGTGGGGTGGGGTCCAGTTCTGACTAGACCTCAGGCAAGTTTTCCTCCAAGGAGACATCTTCCCAGAGCTACTGATCCAAAGTTTGCACCTGCATCCTCATTGGCACCTCAGAGACCTCTAAGACAAGGTACCAAAGCACTTCATCTTCCACTGAGGCCATAGTGCCTTTGATCAGCCACTTTAAAGACCTTCTCTGAGATTTTGCTGCCGTGCAGACAGGGGGAGGTCTAGAAAGGCAGCCCAGATGAAGGTAGCACTCAAAATTAAGTTCAACTGTGCCAGAGAACAGATTCCCCACCCTTGAGGGACTTGCTTTTAAGACAAAGGAGCTGCAACTGGCCAGGGGACACTACTGCCAGGCTAACTCTTGAGAGCCCATGGCTATGCCCAAGAAACCATAGGAATGAGTCCAGATTCTAGACTCAGTTGGGGGCTGCTATCAGGAAAAGCATGGGGAAGGGGCCTCTAAGGAGGCCCTTGAAGGATGGCAAGGAGTCCTGAGGTCCAGATGTAAGACACCTGGGATGTCTCATGGCCCTGAACACCCTGTTTTGTTATCAGAAACATCTCAGTGTCTTTCTAAAGCTGTTTGCATTTGTTGCTGTGCTGTAAGTAGTCACTGTCAGCATTACTGCTGCAGGAGAGAGTTGATTCCCACTCTGGATTCCTTTAAATGGATCCCTCTTGATGGTAAAAGCAGAAGGGTGCTGCTGCCTAGCCAGTCCCAGAGTGGTTCAGCTGTTGTTTAACCTGAGCTCTGGCCATTGAAAAGGAGCTTTGTTGAGGTCACTGCTGCCGTTGTATTCCTCACTAATTCCTCTGGTCTTGACTTTGTTGTCACATTGGTGACCTTGGCTTTCCTTTAGGAAGGAACAATCCTGTACTGTGCCAGGATCATTTCTGCTCAGACTGTGTGCAGATGTGGTTGGCATGCTTGGTGTCTCTGCTTGTGTGACATCGATATTAACTTGTCACCTATTTGTTTTCACAGAGTAACAGTTACCCCTCGATGAGCGATCCCTACCTGTCCAGCTACTACCCACCGTCCATTGGATTTCCTTATTCCCTCAATGAGGCCCCATGGTCTACCGCAGGGGACCCTCCGATTCCATACCTCACCACCTATGGACAGCTCAGTAATGGAGATCATCATTTTATGCATGATGCTGTTTTTGGGCAGCCTGGTGGCCTGGGGAACAACATCTATCAGCACAGATTCAACTTTTTCCCTGAAAACCCTGCATTCTCAGCATGGGGGACAAGTGGTTCTCAAGGGCAACAGACTCAGAGTTCAGCATATGGAAACAGTTACACGTACCCGCCAAGCTCTCTGGGTGGCACAGTCGTGGATGGGCAGACAGGCTTTCACAGCGACACCCTCAACAAGGCCCCTGGGATGAACAGCCTGGAACAGGGCATGGTTGGCCTGAAAATCGGGGATGTCACCACCTCTGCAGTCAAGACGGTGGGCTCAGTTGTCAACAGTGTGGCACTGACTGGTGTCCTTTCTGGCAACGGTGGGACAAATGTAAACATGCCAGTTTCAAAACCAACCTCCTGGGCTGCCATTGCCAGCAAGCCTGCAAAGCCACAGCCTAAAATGAAAACAAAGAGTGGGCCTGTGATGGGGGGCGCACTGCCTCCTCCACCTATCAAGCATAACATGGACATTGGCACCTGGGATAACAAGGGGCCAGTGCCGAAGGCGCCCGCCCCACAGCAGGTACCATCCCCCCAGGCTGTCCCACAGCCCCAGCAGGTAGCTCAGCCTCTTCCTGCTCCACCTCCCCCTTTGACCCAACCACAGTATCAGAACCCTCAGCAGCCACCCCAGCCCCGCTGGGTTGCCCCTCGCAACAGAAATGCCGCATTTGGGCAGAGTGGAGGGGCCAGCAATGACAGTAACTCTCCTGGCAACGCCCAGCCTGCTTCTGCCCCGAGTGTAGAGTCCCACCCTGTCCTTGAGAAACTGAAAGCAGCCCACAGCTATAACCCTAAAGAGTTTGACTGGAATCTTAAAAGTGGACGGGTATTCATCATAAAGAGCTATTCGGAGGATGACATCCACCGCTCCATCAAGTATTCCATTTGGTGTAGCACAGAACATGGCAACAAGCGCCTCGACAGCGCCTTCCGCTCTCTGAGCAGCAAAGGTCCTGTCTACCTGCTCTTCAGTGTCAATGGAAGTGGGCATTTCTGTGGGGTGGCCGAGATGAAGTCCCCCGTGGACTATGGCACCAGTGCTGGGGTCTGGTCTCAGGACAAGTGGAAGGGGAAGTTTGATGTGAAGTGGATTTTTGTCAAGGACGTGCCCAATAACCAGCTCAGGCACATCAGGCTGGAGAATAATGACAACAAACCTGTCACAAACTCCCGTGACACGCAGGAGGTGCCCTTGGAAAAGGCAAAACAAGTGCTGAAGATTATCGCTTCCTATAAGCACACAACCTCTATCTTCGATGACTTTTCTCACTATGAGAAGCGCCAGGAGGAGGAGGAGGTAGTGCGCAAGGTGAGGTACCTGTCACACACGTGTCTGCCTCAGTGACTGTGCTCACCAGGCAGCCTGAGCAGCCAGGGCAAGGCAGGAAGTGATGGGCAATCCACTGATGGTCCAGAGACAGGCCTCGGGCGAGGCTGATGGTCTAGAAAGCACAGGCAGTGTCTCCATGCTTTTCCCTTCACCATCACTAGGAGGATGCAGGAGTGACATTTGAGCAGAGAGACTGTAGATGGGGCGTGCGGTAGTGCTGCTTTTTTTGGTATTTTTGTAAAATGACACAGCCATGCGTTGCGTAACAATGGGACATACTCTGAGAAATGCATTGTTGGGTGATTTTGTGGCTCTGCCAGCATCACAGTGCACGTACCCAAAATAAGACCCCATGGCATCACCAGGCAATATAACCCTGAAGGACCACTGTCATAGGTAGAATGTCATTAATGCAGCATGTGGCTGTACTGAATTGCTAGATTTGCAGGGTCAGAACAGGGATAATTAACAGTTAATGAAATTGAGGTCCAGCTTTACACTTGTGGCTGTCTATGTGTGTGTTCAGTTTTTCCTCTTAAATACTGAATGCGTGGGTTTCCCTAAAGTGCACTGGGTTCCAAAAGTTGGCAGTGCATTTAGGTATAAAATTCTGCCCCTGATCTGGTTAGTGTTTTTAAAACTTCTAGTGTCTTAAAAGTTGCATTGTAACAACTCAATCTTTAGACAGTTGCATTTTTATATGGAGTCTTGGGTTAAGCCTTGTGGTGAAAGGCCTGCAGGGCCCATGGGCATCTGTCCTAAGTCTGGATGCTTGTGCCACTTGGAGAACTCTGGAGATGTGCCTGTCTAATTTGCCTGAGGAACACCCTAGGAAGGACTTGGTGACCTATGAACAGTGTCAGCCTGGCCTAAAGCTTTTGATCCATGTTGTTCAGTGTTAATTTATATTGAAGGTGACAAATAATTTGTCACTGCAGAATTCAGGTAGAATTTCAAGTATCTTTTAAGCTCACTGGGCTGTGTAGAGAGATGGAGGTGGTTCTGGGACTGTCCTTAGACTGATGTGTCCCCTGGCTACACAGTGCTAGCTGCCTGCCAGGTACTTGGAGTTCTTTCTAAGGGTGGGCTGTTGGTTTATCAGAGCAGAACCCTAGGTGTATGGGATTGAGACTCCAGGTTTCTACTGAGGAGTGTGGTCTAGTGTTAATGAAGTAACTTCAAAGAGTTAGGAGCACTCCTTCCTCAGGGCTATAAAAACTGGCCAGGGCCCTGGCAGATCTCCAAGGTTCTCAGGACCTCTGAGCAAACAGACCCATCTTTTGTTCATCACACACACCTCTTCACTTTTGAATGGTTTTGATTTTAAAAATATAGTAGATCCTTGGTATCTATGGGTATTTGATTATAAGGAGACTGCTATGGAGGGAAAAAACCCCACAAATGCTAGGATGGATAGCTTTCACTGCTGAACCTTGCAGATGCTTGATTCGTTCTTCCCATAGAGCCACCCAGTTTCCACTAAAGACATGCCATCTTTCCACACATCTAAAATTTTCACTTTATCACTTCAGTTAAGAACATTAACTCTTAACCTTTCTTTTTGGGCCCTATTTGCTTTTGGGGAGGCAGATTTTCACAAAATTAAGGGCACGGAAATGCTCAGTAGATCACACAATTTAAACACAACTGATGATAATGTGAGACTCAGAGCCTCTCCACATCAGCTGAGCTGTGTAATGCGTGTGTGAGAATTAAAAATGATCGTTTCTGAAATTTGTGATTTTTGTTTTTGTGCAGTATAGGGTTTGAGCTCAAGGCCTCTTGCTTGGCAGGTGCTCTACCACTTGAGCCACGCCCCTGCCCTTTTTCACTTTATTTTTCAGATAAGATTTCATGTTTTTGCCCTGAGTTGGCCTTGGGCTTTGATGCGCCTTCCTATTGCCTCCCTTGTGGCTGGGATTATATATGTATGTCACCATGCTTGGTTTATTGATTTGAGATGGAGTCTTGCTAACTTTTTGCCCAGGCTGACCTTGAACTGCAATCTTCCTGATCTCCCTCACAAGGAGCTGGGATTACAAGTGAGCCCCTGTGCCCAAGTGATTTTGTGTGTGTGTGTTTGATCAAAACTATGTGCCATACGTCTGAATAAGGCAGGATTACTGTACCTAGTGTTTAGAAAGTGAAATATAGTTAAAAGTTTTTGCAAAGTTTCCCTGTCCAGCTATAAATTTGGAAACACACTGATTTTGTAGGAAGCACTAACAAGGCAGTGTGTCAGACCTAGATTGATACATTGTTTTTTTTTAATTTATAAATAGTCCTCCTTAGGTGTTTAAGACAGTGAGAGTTTTGTGTTCCACACAGTGTGTACCATGCTGGAGACTTTGAGGGGTGCCCTAGCCTGACACAGCCCCAGCTTCTGGGTCCTCTGCATATACCAGGCAACTCAAGGAGAGGCAGTTGACTTTGGAGAACCGGGTAGAGGGGAGAATTTAGGAATAAGCACTTACACTCATGTAAGGATGAGCTGTGCTTCCTCTGTCAGCTTTTTTGTTTTTTTCTTTCTTTCCTCTGAGATCTTATGAGTAATGTTTCTTTTTTTAAGGAGCAGGTGGTGAACTTCATAGCTATTCATAGGGCTGGAGGGAGCCAGGCACTGCATAGCCTTCCTCTTCTAGGTGCTTTGCTAGCAGCCATTTGGATTTGAGAGAGAGACTGGCTGGTAGACGAGAATTTTTAAGGAAATGTAAAATGTAGACTTTTTTCTGCATTTAAAATTTTTTAATGTATATTATTTTTAAGCATTTACATAGATATATTCTGAAGATGTTCAACACATTTTTAATCATTGTCATTTTTAACATGTAAAATTTTTAATTTTTCCAGTTTTACACCTCTGAGTAGAGAAGATTTGAATTCTTAGTATTAGCTCTCCTTGCTCATGGTGTACTGCAGCCTCCTCAAGATGGGATGCACAGGTCTGTGAGAAGAGTGGCCACGCCCAGAGGCTCTTCCCTGGACTGTGCATGGTGTCCATCCCAGCACTTGGCACATGCTCAGTCCATCTTTAGCATAGGAGGAGAGTTCAGATTGTCGTCTAACTACACTTTGAATGCTGGGTCATTCTGCCCCTCAGTTTTCTTCCTAGTTTGCACCTAGGGTGGATATGCAGGGACATACCTGTAACCAAGTGGCATGGTATGTGCTCCTTGCTTGCATCGAGTATGTTTTTATGTTGAGAGCTGAATTTAGATACTGTATTGTTAGGAAAGACAGATGGCTTTTAGACTCAGTGATCAGAACTCAGGCAGTTGTGGGAAGAGTTGGATCTAAGTCCCAGACTTGTATGTTAAGCATATATTTTCTTCATGGAAGTAGGAAGCAGACTGACCAGAGGAGCCTTTCTCCAAATCAGTCAGCCTTGGTGGAGGCCATGATGTTCTGTTTAGCATCAGGGCGACTTTGGCTGTGGAAAGGGTCTGAACTGGATGGACCCCAACTTGTCCTCTTGCCCTCCCTTAGCCACATGACTCAGAGCATACCCTTTAGCCAACTGGACAGATTTTGGTATCCTGAGCCACTAGGACATTAAAATGAGAGAAAATACAAAAGAGCAGTTCCTGTGTGCCTGGCACACTTGAGTGCCCTTTGCATGCTAGTTCCTTCCTCTGGGTGCAGACAGTTTAGTGTCTCCAGTGTCTCTCCATGAGGCATGACAGTGACGTGAGACGGGAGAGCTGAGCATGGGAGAGGTACCCATACAACTCCTTTAGCAGCGGGCATTCTTGGGAGAACCTTGCACCAAGCATGGGGCCTAGTTGTAGATGGTGCCCTGCCCTGGTCTGTGGGACCAGGTTCCTCAACTGTTCAGAGCCACATGGGCTAGTGTGGACTGGTTGGTGGAGCAGAGAACACCACATCCACATCTACAGGGCGGCCTTGGGCCTTATATTTGTGGCAATTCACTGCTCAGCGTGTTGACTTCCTCTCCTTTTTCTTTTTGCAGGAACGGCAGAATCGAAACAAACAATAAGGACAAGCCAGTTTCTTGTGGTTAACAGTTGACTTTGAAAACAGAGTTTTAAAACTGTATGCTTGGTGCTGTCTTTGGCGTCAGCTCCAGTGTGTCGTCCTCGTGCGGGGTTGAATTGTTGCATCTTTATCTTTGTAGTTCATTTTTGCCAGATGGATCTGCATTCATTTGTATTTTTTTCTATGTATTATAATATTGTAGAACTCACTAATAAAGGAATATTTTTGTCAGCTTATCAGACTGACGTAATGCGAAATATAAATGTCCTTCAAAACAAAACAAAACCTAATACATCCCAAAGATTTTTTATTTTGGCAGAAATTATGTTCTCATTCTTATATCTAGTTATTTAATATTTCACGCCCCTGTACTGCTTTAGAGCACACATAAGAGCCCATACAATGTTTTGTCATTAGAGTATGCTGTTAAAATCTACCAGTACTGAAATTGAAAGGTTAGTGATCACCCTGTTCGGCTGGTTTGCTGTTTTTACTGTCTGTCTAAAATGCTAACCTGCCTGTTTGGTTTTGCTATTAGGCAGAAAGATAACTTAGTTTTCAAATGTGGTGACCACATTTGGGCTTTTGGAAAGGCCGTCCTTCACGCTGCATTGCCCAGGCCAAGTGGGCTGCTTTGCCCCTCCCTGATGCTGTCTGATTGACTAGGTGAGAATGGGGCTCCGTGTGTAGAGGATCTAATTCAGGTCTGGTGCAGCGTTCAGGCGTTTTTGCTCGTTTGCAGATCATTTTTAATTTCCCTCTTTTCTTCACTTGAGAGTCCTAAAGCTGTCTTAAGTTTTTATACCAATAATGCTAAGCTTTAAGTGTAGGATCTGATAGTGTGAGGGGTGATGCTGCCGACTGTAAATTTCAATGTGTGTGTCTAAATTTTTTTCCTGTTGAATGGATAAAAACAAAAATCAAAAACTATTTTTAGAAAACGAATTTGCTGTCATGTTTTGTGGAATGAGGGGCCGTTGAGGAGCTCACCGCCACCTGGAGTTGGAGTTTAGCATGAAAGTGGTGCTCATGCCCGACGCCCTCGCACACCAAATCTGCACGTGCCCAGCGTAGAGGATCCTTACTGTCTTAGAGAGCAGATACCTTCCGAAACTATTTACTCCAAAAGACCCTCTGAGTTAAAGTTTAAGCTGTATTATTTAGACTTGTATTTAGAACGTGTCACTTCTTCGAGCTGTTACTGCCTGTATGGAGTCATGGACAACAGTCGGATACCTGTCCTCTAGGAGTATACAAGCCTTAATAAACACACCTGTTTAGCAAGCCCGTGTGCTCTTGTGCTTCCCCTGCCGCACAGGGGACCTGCCTTGTTTTTGTTGTACCTTCAGTGCTAGTGAAGCAGTCACTGTCTGAGCAGTTGTGACTTAGAATCTAGTTCCAACACCTTGTTCTCAAGAATCTGTAGGCACAAAGAAGGAGACGGCTGTGGGAGCATCACCTGACTTGCAAGCTCATCTTGTGCTGGCTTCCTCCCAGTCTCCCTATCTCCCTCCCCTCCTTCCCTCTCTCTAGGTGTTTCAAGCTGCAGACAGTGTGCTGTCTGATAACTCCACAAGCATAACAATTGTTTAGTATTTATTCATAGCAATTTCCTTGGGAAGTAAAGTTTACAAAAATGAAATGCGAACCCAAGTGTACAGCTGCCCCATTTTTGACATCCCAGAAATCATCCCCTTTTCCCAGGCAGTCACCACCTCTGCAGAATTTGACAGTAAGAAAAATAGTCTCAAGGTCTTGCCAGTCAAAGGTGGAATGTTTATTCTGTCCTCTGTTGCTTAAATCACTTTGAGGTTTTTATTTTTAAATTTTTCCTCTTTTATTAGTGTATGTTAATCACACAGAGGGGTTTCATTGTTATACTTCATACATGTATACAATGATTTTGATCAGATTTGCCCCATTACTCTTTCTTATCCTGCCTCCTTTTCTAAACAGCTTTTAATGGGCTTCATTATTTTGTTCATACATGTGTATGAAGAAGTACTTGCACATCAGAATTTTATTTTAGAAAATGTAAACTATGGTTAATTTCCTCATTCTGTGCCATTTTATTGCATGTGATTCTTGGGCTCCTTTAAAAATGCACCAATTCATAGGCTTTAGAGGGGCCAGCTGAGAGATCCTGAGAAGTGCATGTTACAACAGGGTGTCAGCACCAGGGAGGACAGGGTTGTTGGTCACCATGGAGATTGTGACAGACTCTGGATAAGTGGTGGTTGCTGACTGGCCTGTGTGTCGTGGATTGCCAGTGCAGTCAGTTGTTCCTGGGGCTTTTTCCAAACCCAGGGAGATTAGTGGGTTCCTTCTGCCAACTCTAGAGCAGGTGTCTAGTTGGAGGAACCTCAGGGGCTTCCCGGTCACATTGCTGGGGTCAGGGAGTCAGATGGAGGTGAGCTTTGTGAAGGCTGTGTTAGCATCACTAATGCTGTTACCACTTAGCATTTCCACCCTGCCTTACATAGCTGCCCAAGCAGCCATTTCTTCTTTCCTCTGACCACCCCTGATAATGCCATTTGAGGTTCCTCTGGCTCTAGAGGCTTTCTGGAGGGTCTAAAGTCATAGCTGACATCCCGGGTGACCAGCAGGTGGGTCACTGGCTGGGCTTGCACGCTGCTGTCCCACCTGGGCCTTAAGCTAGAGGATACATGGTAAAGAATTGCTTGGCTTGTGGGGCTTGTCAGGACAGAGTGCTCTCAGTTGTCTCCTGTTCCTTAGGAGGATAGTTCCTGATGTCCAGGATTGATGACTTGTCCTTTCCTTGGACAGGACAGAAATAGCCTCTTTAGCCATAGGCCAGCTGTGAGCCAAGGCCCATGAGAAAGGAATTGGAGCTGCCATGTTGCAGTGTCACTTCATGCATCACCAGGTTGTGTTGTGTCCTCAACTCTCACCACGGCCAAAGGGAAATGGGGGCACTAGGGAGCCCATTAGACCACACAAGTCCAAGTAAGCGACAGGCCATGTGCTCACATGACTGGTGAGCAGTTTTCTGCAGCCCAGAGTTGCTTTTAAGATTTGCATGTTGAGAAAAAAAAAAAAAACGATTTGCATGTTGAAAATTTTTAGAGACTAATTTTTAAAAAAGGCTTTTGAACAGTTACTCTCCATGACATTTTTAGCAATTCTGTGATGCCATCCACTGGGGTTACATCTTTTTGGGCTAAAAGAATACCTAGTTCAAATTCTTTCCAAAGCCACTAGGTTCCATCTCCCAGGGATCTCCCTTGGGAGTCCCTCCACCAAAGAATAAGAAGAGGTGCTGGGAAAGGGTGAGGCCACTTGAGCCATACCTCCATTCCTTTTACCCTTTATTTTTCAGATAAGATCTCACTTTTTAACTGGGGCCAGCCTCTA